ATAAGAGGCAGGATAAACAGGAAGAGGTTTAGCTGTTCTGTTGTTTAGTCTTCAATTTGTTTTACAACATACATGCCTGTTGCCTTCGTGGTGCCTAACGTATCTTAGTCTGGCTCCTGAATGCTCTGGAAACTCTGGGAGAGTAACGAACACAGGCTCTCAGCAGAATTAGAATATCAACTGAATGGGATCAGCAATTTCCATCAACTGTTGGAAGTGGTACTGGGAGGATAGAAGCCTGCCAGAGTTTCTGATGGCTCAAAATCATGCTTGAGCTGGGGATGAATGTGGTGTGCTTCCATGTATCAGGCCTGTGGGATGTACCCGGTGGGACCCTGGTTTTGGCAGAAGGTAACACAGGTACATGAGACAAAGTAATGTGATGAGTCATTCTAGTCAGTATTTCACTGCTTCTTATTTACATCCTTGTCCCTTTAAAAAGTCTTCAATGACTACAGCTTTGTCCTCATTCAGATCCTTTCCATAATTACCTGTGCTTCGGAGCCTATGAGGTGTACCACTTTCTGATCTTCTGTCCCTGCTTTTGCCGACTCTGCAACACTTCACAGCTGAAAACAGCTTATAGGCAAGATTAATGCACAGGAGAACAAAAAGACTCGTTGTGTTGATGATGTGCATGTTAGTTTGCCTGTTACTCGGTACTCTGATCAGTTGTTCTGTTTTGGCTGTATGGGAGCTCCTGGAGGCTGTTTTGAACTGGCTGGGTCAGGTTATGCCTACAAGGTGGCTGCAGCAGAGCAGCTCTTGGTGTAGGACAGTCATCCAATTAGTGCTGTGGAACAAAAATCCACTAGCTTCTCCTGCTGTTATGAAGACTTGAGCTTTGCCAACATCAGCTTGAGACAGATACTCTTGAGCTGTATGCCCTTAGTTTGCAAAATAGATTTAGTCCTGGGAGTGAGGCTTGTACTACTTGTTCATATGGAGCTTGGCACAAGATGATCTAGACCTTTATTGGTGTGTGTCACCAGACTAGAAATGTCTGGTACTGCCATCGGTACTACACTGAGGTAATGGTCATGCTTGTTAATGTTTTCTGTATCTTCCATTTCAGGTATTGTGATTGCTTTGCAAATGGTGAATTCTGCAATAACTGCAACTGTACAAATTGTTATAACAACCTGGACCATGAAAATGATAGACAAAAAGCAATAAAGGTAGGAAGTCTATTTTTCCTAGTTTTGAGGTTTTTGAAGTGAAGAGTATGTTCCATTCATTTAGAATTTAGTGTGTTTCTGAGTGGAATTGTGATGGGAAAACTGGCTGTGTAGCTTGCCTCCAAAGATAGCTTGGATCAAAGAAGTAGCTTGTGCCTTCTGAAGTCAGGTGGATGTTTAACACCCTAATCTCCTCCCACCTGTGCAAGATATAAGCTGTTGTATTGCACCTTTGATTTCTGTGCCCCCATATGCAGTGACTGACCCTTTGGGTCTGTATTGACAGGCTTGCCTTGACAGAAACCCTGAAGCCTTCAAGCCCAAAATAGGGAAAGGAAAGGAAGGAGAATCAGATCGGCGACACAGCAAAGGGTGTAACTGTAAACGCTCGGGATGTCTCAAAAACTACTGTGAGTGTTATGAGGTAAGAAGCATTATGTCATCCTAAAGGCTTTAGCTTTTCCCATTCAGTGCTGCAACTTCACTGTTGGGCTTTGTCTCTTCCTCTTGCTGAAACTGCCATAATGGTTTTAGTCTATTTTTTCCTACTAACAGTTTACATCTAGAAAGCTGTATGCATTGCAGAGTTGTTCACTCCTGTCCTGAGCTTCAGTTTAAAACATGTAGCAACTCTGAACTCAGGCTTGGATTTGTCCTTACTGAAGACTAGTATTTTCTAAATAACTCTACAAGTCTTACGGAAAGAAACATACAGCGCCATGTCCCTATGTGCTCTATTAGTTATTACAGCATTACACAAGCACTCCAGGATGAATCGTGTCTGTGGAAGCCAAAGGCAAAAGTTTGATCAGTCTGCTGATCAACAGTTTGTAGATGCAGGGATAGTTGCAGACTGATATCTCAAATAGTTTAACTGCTCAATTCTGCTGAAAACAGCAGATTGGGAAAGAAGGACATGAGTGGGAAACTGTTGATTTGCAGCAGATGAAGCATAAATTCTGGGAAGGCATCTCACTTCATTAAGAATTTGAAGAGAAGACAGGGCTTCTTCTTGTGGATCTAGAAGTTCTAATAAGAGACTAAAACAAGATGACCCTTCTCCTATGGTTAATCTTAAAGAATGTCTAAATTGCAATGGGTTTCTCATCTTCCCTTTGTTTCTTTCAGGCAAAAATCATGTGTTCTTCCATATGCAAATGTGTTGGCTGTAAAAATTTTGAAGAAAGCCCAGAGAGGAAGACATTGATGCACTTAGCAGATGCTGCAGAAGTTAGGGTCCAGCAGCAGACTGCTGCGAAGACAAAGTTATCTTCCCAGATCTCAGATCTCCTCACGAGGCCAACACCAGCACTCAGCAGTGGTGGAGGGAAGTAAGTTAACAGCCCTCAGTTTTGCTTGGTTCTAATGTACTTTTTCTGATGCATGTGACAGGTATGTTCCTGTCATCTTTGAATGTTATCTGCATAAGCTATAGGAACCAGGAGTATTCAGGTGACTGAAGTCTTTTGTCTTCTATGAAATCTAGTGTGTGCAAAGCTTGGCTGTATTCAAGCATGTAACTAAGCATTGTTTTTTCATGGTTGTTGTATGCTGCTAGAAAATAAGAAATATACATCCAGTTACTGAGTGCATATAAACTTCAGGCTGCCCATATAGTAAAAGCTGGAGAGTTTTTCTGCATACCTGGGCATTTCAAAATCTGTTTTGCAGTGTACCTCGATGGCAGCAAGAACAAAGCAAAAATTACCTGCCTGTTCATTTGACTCAAACTGTGGCTTGTAGGCTGCCTGTTGGGGTGAGTGGATGTTTTGTTTTGTTTCAGGCTGCCCTTCACATTTGTAACCAAGGAGGTAGCTGATGCAACCTGTGAATGCCTTCTGGCGCAGGCAGAGCAAGCTGAGAAGATGGGCAAGTCAAAAGCAGCAGCGGAGCGCATGATCCTGGAGGAGTTTGGACGCTGTTTGATGAGAGTTATCAACTCTGCAGGGAAGTCCAAAAGTGACCCTTGTGCCATGAACTGCTGACGCGTGCACATGAGCCACAATGAAGCAAACTGAACAGAACACTTAAGGCACAGGGACACTTTGATTTGGAATAGAGGATTTAGTAACACTTGCCAATTTGGTGCTTGTTTTAATTGACTTGCAGAAGATTAAACAAGAAAATATTTTATAACAAGATTTAGAGCCTTTTAAGTCTTAGCTAAATTCTCTTCTACATAAGATGACTCCTAAAAGACATTTTTTCTTCCTGATGTACAGCTTTTAACTTGGTTTTCTTAAAAGAAAAAAAAAAGAGTAGGTGTTTTCTTCCCTATCCCCAAAAAATAACTGCCTTAAGGGCATATATAAATTATTATAATATATTATTTACAGTACATAAAGTTGTGTTGCTTTGTGCAGGAAAACAATGATAACAAAGATACTTAGGCAACAGGCCCACAGTGAGGACTATACGTGTATCAGTCACTTCTGAAAGGAAATATGTAAAAGTCAGCATCTGAATGGAAGGTAGTACCTACACTTGGGACCTGACATGGCATAATCCCTTAGTGAGCAGAGCGGTATAAAATACAAGGTGAGTATACAGTGGTTGCTTGCAGATTTATTGTCAACAAGTGTTTGGGAACCTTACCAGAGTGGGCCCTAAGGAATTCTGAGGCAATAGAATAAATGGAAAATATTATAGATGATCATGGATGAAGGCTCAATGTTTTGGTGTTTGTTTGGTTATTTTTAATGGAACTCAGAGGCTAAGACAGTGGTCTGCTCTTAAAAGTGAGGAAGAACAGCCATGTTGCAATGCTACTCTGTCTACCTATTCAGCAGGCAGATGCTGTTGCTTGGGTGAAGCTTGGTGTTCAGAGCTCTGCAGCAGCTCAATCCTCTCTGCAGGTAGTGCTGTGCAGGCTGTTGTGTTTTCAAGAATTAAGCTGTTCCCATAGAAAGATATTTGAGCCTGAGTAGGTGAGGGTCAATGGAGACAGGAGTGCTACAGTTGTCTTAATGAGGACTCGACAATCTGAATCTGAACTGACCTGCAAATGCAGGAGGAGATACTGTGTTCAGCCTGGTTGTGGGTCTTCATGGTGCTACTCGCAATTGTGGTGGTTTATTTGGCTTTAAAGGTTTTGTGTTTGGGTTTGTTGGGTTTTTTTGAGGGCTGTTTAGAATGATGGAAAGCACAGTGATCAGAGAGGATGTTAGCACAGAATCAAGATGACTGCTAAAACAGATGTATGGATCCTTTGGCTCAAAAAAAAAAGAAAAAAAGGGGGAGGAAAGTATACCAACAAAAAACAAATCAAGGTAGAGCTGTATGTAGAATGGGACAGGGAATTTTCCAGTATTTGTTACAGACAGTCTCAGATCACTTTCTTGATAATGGAACATCTTTGCAAAATCAATCTCATACGTTACTTACTAATGTGAATGTCAATAACTATGTTTAATCGCAGGCATTTTTAACAACTCTTTCTGTTCCCTTGAACAATGTAGCTAGGTTTTTCCAAAAAGGATTTTGTATCTTCATGTAAAACTGTAAACACAGAGAGATGCAGCAGAGCTCTTCCTCCACGTTTTCTAGCAGAGCCAAATGCCTACATGTGCGTGTGATGGCAAAAAGATGGAAGGAGGTTCTGCTTCTACTAGAATGGCTTGGGGGCACAAAGAACTGGAAGGTGGCCAGCAGCAAGGGGAGGCCCATCAGGTGGCTGTTGGAGACCAGATCTGGACTACTGGTCACTATCAGGCTCTGTCTGGTAGTAACATCTCCCTGAGTGTAAACTGCGAGTATATTAGTGCAAATCTCTGGAAGGGAATCCATCCATCTCTTCTGTAAGTAAATGTCTATTTTGTTTTTTTTCTGTAATTAAGACTTGGGTTTATCAAAAGTCAGTACAATAACTCCTTACATGTACAAGGGCTGCTCTGAAAGCAATGCCTCCTATTTTATTACGCTAACCCACAACGTCAGAGGCAGATGTTAGTGGTGTGGCACGAGAGGTTGAACCTTCCTGCCAACATTCTGCTGGGGCACTCTGACAGAAGGGCATCTGACATGCAGGTACATGAGGAGAAGGTGTATCACTGAATTCCTCCATGCAGAGAAAATGGCACCCGTTGACATTCACCAACTCTTGCTGAATGTTGATGGAGACCAAGCAGTGGATGTGAGCACAGTGAGGTGGTGGTTGTGAGTTTTAACAGTGGCGACTGCAGGTCACCTCTGGTACAGACTTTTACAAGCGTAGCATATGGGCTCTCGTTCATTGCTGGTGAAAATGTGTAGCTAAAAGTGGTGAAAAAGTGTGTTGCAGCTGAGAATTTGCTCTGTCAAATACTGTTGCTGTGCTCTTTGTTGCAGTTTACGTGGAAATAAATGAGGCATTACTTTCAGAATAGCCTACATAGTGCAGATATTCAGTTTATTTCTAGTGACCTAATGTAGTATGTCCAGTAAGATTTGTATAAATGTAAATTAGTGTAAGTGAATAAAGTAATAACTACTTACATTATTTTTCAAACAGATTGCAATATGCCTTCTTTTGTTTAGACTTCAATCCATGTTAATTTTGTATATATTATGTGTCTTTCTCTAAATTGCACCTTTTGTGATGTGTATTTATATACAGTGTGCAGAAACTTGTGAAATTTAGATTACAGTTGTAATTATGTATGATGGCATTGCTTGAGAATATTTTGCTTCTAAAGACTTTGAAGGTGCAATCAAAAGCTCTTAGTTTTTCAATTTTGTTTTGAGCAAGCTTTCTCCAATATTAAGCTGGGATTCTTCTCTTCCCTTTTCACTGGTGTAATATGTACGGATTGGGTTTTGTACTTCCTTAGCCATTTGCATCAAACTGCTGGACAAGATTGACAGTCAAGCTCATGCAGTTGTGTGAAAATAATTGGGAATGGGACAAGGGTTCATTTTGTAGTTCTGTTTACATCTGAAAGTAGAAAAACTAAATTTATATTTACTAGACCTATTCAAAGAATACACTTTTCTATATTGTAAAAATAAAAGTCAGATAAATCACAAAGAAAATAAACATTTATACTATTCTGTAAATGTTTAGTACTGCCTTGACTTTCCAATACATGATTGAATCCTACCAGAGATAAACCATTGGTTATTAGTGTACTTTCACACCTTGCCATGCATGGCATGTAACAATGCAGCTAGTGTTCTGGCTCTTGGCACTGTGAGATGGTATCAGGACGCAGGAGCAGCCCTGGAGATGTGGCAGCAGCTCCTGTGAGTGTAGATTGCCAGCATCTGCAGAAGGGGTGAAAAGGAGAAAAAGGAGGATGAGCAGAGCACAGGGAAAGCAAACACAGTTTCATGTGATAATACATGAACTTGAAAAATATATGTGATGGCAAGGATGCAGTAGAAGACTGAGAGAAGAAATTATTATATCGAAATGATTTGAATGAATTTGTATGGATTCCAGAAGTGCAGAGTACTGGCACAAGTGTGGGTGCTTCAGAGATGGTGAACATAGGGAGATGGTGCTCAGAAGAGAGACTGTGAACAGGCGCGCAGTGGAGAAAATTCCCTGGCAATAACTGCAGCATTACAAATACTCAACAGTTCCTCTGAAACCTGGCAGTTCCTGGAGTGTGAGAACAGCTAAAAGCATTTCTGCTGGGCAACAGCTGGTCTGTATTTTCGGAAATGAATGTTTAATTTGCACAGGACTCCTATAACAACTGTCAAGCTTTCTTTGAATATCAGATGGCTTTCCTAGGTTACCTGGTAACTGCAACTTGTTTTTCTTTGTTTGTTTGTTTTCTAATAATGTACTTCTGGCTCAGGCCTAATTCTGCTAAACCCTGGGAAACTTCAGCAGTGTTTGAAATTTGAAAACTCTTTCAAATCAAAATTTAAGTGAAGTGCAAAAGGATGGATGAACTATGTTGGACATGGGCACCACTGGAGGTCAGAGTCTCATTCACATTTTTTGTCTACGAGCATCCCCTTGGGGAGAAGACTCAGTTTGCATCAAGCAAGACAGACTCACTCAGATGTAAACAGGAAGTGGTAGCAGGCATCTATCCAGCCAAAAAAATATGCAGCAAGGAAGTGCCTGCTCCCCTATGACTCATCTCATCTTGTGGCTGGAGGTTTAGGCAATGCAAATATTCTAACTCAAGTGCAGTAGCATGCAGCTTAACCAACCATAGGGATTCTGGAAGCATTTTCTAGTTGACCCAAAAAATGCATACATATGAGATGTTTTCCTGCAAAATGTATTCTAGCTGAAATGGTTCCATGGCAGTTAGTGATGGCTTTTTGCATGGGTAATTGGACTGGATAGCCAGAGAGTTTTGTGGGAAATACTCCTCCCATTTCCATGGATGCAGTCTCTGTTCTGTGTAGCAAAATGTGAGCAGTGCAACAACAGTTACACGAAATTCCTGTTGGAGGCAAAACGCAGCATACCGAGGCACCTTCCTCACCACAATACTGAACCGATTGAAGAAACCTTGCCTATTGCTTTGTTCAAGGGAAACAGTGTCTAAGCATGGGAAAGACCTGTCTTGCAGCTCAGGGTACAAGCCTGAACAAGATGGAACGCCAGCTCTAGGATGAAGGGCTGTGCTGCACAGTGACTGGGGGATCTCTTGGGGGCCATGTATGGGATGTGAAACACTCCCCTTGCTGCAACATGTGTGTACGTAGATGTGTGGTGCTCCTGCACAACTGATGAAGTAGCACTGCCCTTGTGCCTTGAATGACAAGTATTTGCTTCACGTCCGCTACCTTGTTTGTGAGACACGTGGGTTTAGCTTTGCAGTAGCTGTAGTCCTCTCTTCACCAAATTCTAGACTTAAACAGCTTGCATGCCTGGCTCATCAGATCTATGTACAACTCAAGTCCCATTTTATTTCCATATGATTTATTTCCATTTTTAAGCATTTTCCCTTCTCTTACTTCCAGCTTATTTTATCACAAATGTGCTAATGGTAAAATCAAGCTAGCAGCACACCAATCTCCTGCCCCTTGCAAATATGGCAAGAGCGCTCGTAGCACTACTGTAGCCAGCAGCAGGAGCAGACACCATGCTGTCACTTGCCACCTCCCTGGGCATTTTAAGCAACTGTTCCCTATCCTGATTTACCCTGAGTTGCATGAAATATGTGGCTGCTTCACAGGGTTGCTTTGCCTACTCAAACTGGGGTCAGACCATTCACAGTGTCCCAAGTCATCACTCATCAACACTAATTTTGCCTGGCAAATCATGGTAAGACACATGTGGTTTGCTGGCACTATTGCACAGATCTGGCCACTGAGCCTCTATAGAGGACAGCAATAAATATTCATTATCCTGCCTGGGTTTGGCTTGACCAACAGCTACCTAGCTGTGATAGGAACCAAATGCTTTCCCTTCACTCTCTTCAATCTGTGTCTGCCACAGTGGTAACTGAAGTTCAATTTTTGGGCTTGGTTTGTCCTGATGTTTAAGTAACACTCTGCTATTCCCTTCACTAAGATTGTGTAGTGATTGTCAGGGTGCAATTCCCCCTCGCATAAATGCTCAGGAAGGGAGGGGAAGAGGTGATTTTGTCCCAGAAGCTCATGGAAAATTTTCTGTTCTAGAGACAAATAACATAACTTGGAGTTCTTGTTGTCATCTCCCAATTGTCTGTGCCTGCTCAGGACTTGTTCAGAAATGTATGCCACACGATGCACACTCGCTGAGGGCAGGCTTAGTCCATGTAACTTTTTGATGTAGAGCACTGCTCCACACCTTAGCCTGCTCCTATCTGACTCAAAGAGGGATGCAACACAAGCCTCACATTGCAAGTTGGAGGCTAATTGCTCAGCAACTAAGCCTGCAGCAAAGGTGATGCTCTGCTTGTGCAACGATAGGTCTGTAAGTGCATTGCTCAGAGAAGAGTCACACAAAAGAAGGCCAGCACAAGGGAGCTCAGCTGCCAGCATCTGCCTGTGAGCTGGGTTATACTGAGAACAAATGCTGCCAAGGGTAAGGCCTGTCCTGTGAGACAGGGACAAGTCCAAGCTGCTTATGTGTGCTGTGCTGTGCAGAGTGTCTGGTGCCAGGCTACAGCCAGCCAGCACTTTGCGGTAGGCAGCCTGAAACATGGCACAGGTGGGGTTCCCACTGCCAGCACTGCAGGCTTGCCGGAGGGCAGAGAAAAACTGCTCCAACGGGTCAAGGCTGAAGGCAGAGGTCAGGAGGCAGTGGGAAGGAGCACCCTCTTGAAGCACAGGGTTGCTGCAAAGCCACTTAAGGCTCTCAGCATTGAGCAAAAAGCTCAAAAAGCCCAGTCTGCGTTTGCTCTTAATAATGTATCTCCCTGTAGAGTCTGTTAAGGTAACAAAGAAGCTCTTGGCCTCATGGAAGAGGGGGCTGATTTTGTTGTAATTTCTGGCTAGCAAAGGCCCCTTCAGTCCACTGCCATAGGGACCTCTGCCATGAAATACATCGCACAGACAGCTCATCATACGCAGGAATTTGACTGTACCACCACAGTTCTGAAATGAGGCCAGGCCCAGCTTCTGGAGGTGCTCCAGTGCATCAGCAACACCCTCACTGAACAACTGGGCAGCAAGGTTGACCTTTAGCTGGTAAGTCTCTTCACTCTCTGTATGGCCTGACCTGAGCCCTAACAGCTTTTTCTCCTGTAAAGTTGCCAGCTCCACCACATGCTGCCACTGCACAGTGTCACTGAGCCACTGTATCTTCTGGAAGCATTGCAGCGTGTTCCTTATCAACTGGAGAGCATGACAGACATCAAAGAAGTATGCAATGCAGTGAGTGGAGCTGGGCGGGTGATGGAAAGCGCAGCGGATCCTTTGCGGGTTGATCCTGACCCCCAGAGCTCTCGCCGTCTCAGCCCCGTACGCGGTGGCACCCGATGTCACGGCCAGCACTGTGACACCAACGTTGTTCAGCTTACTGATGGCCTGACGAAGCAGCTGAGCCAGCAGGCAACCAGTCATGCTGCTCACAAAGAAGTAGCCGAGGGGAGCCCTCCAAGGGCTTGAGATACCGGCTGCCATGACAACTACTGCTTCTGAGGCCAGCGGAGCTTCATCAGCATCAAGGCTGCCTGCTCCAAAGTCAATAAAGCCGGTCAGATGCTGGGTCTGCCGGTCCCACTCCTGGCACTTCTGCAGGGACATCTCCTGTACCATCAGGGCACAGTAGCAGTAGGCCTGTTCCCCTCTCTCCACCTTTTCTTGAAGCTGGAGGAATATATCATTGCTGAAGCCTGGAGCAGCAGCATCGTTAGACAGCCAGCTGGAAAAAAAAGGAGCATGTGTTTAGGGGATGTGCTTCTGAGAAAACTGAAGCAACAGCCAGCACAGTTCACCACTTTATAAAAACTGTCAGGCACATAAAGAGCTGCAATGCAGACCCAGCCAGCACACAGTGAGCTGAAACACGTGTTTCTTTCTCGCAGCCCAGTGATGGAAAGTCAAACAAAATTTTCCAAATGTTGAAATAACAAAGTGGGTTCCTGCCTCTAAAGTGGAGATTAGGACAACAGAAAAAGGAAACTGAGCAGAGTACAATAGAGCACTGCAATGGCCCAGCAAAGCCAGGCTTCTCTCCACAGCACTTTCTCCATGCTGCAAACCTTAATCTGGTTGAGATCTTGGAGCTTAATCCTACTCTCCTCAGTCTACCGTGTCCTCCGCCCCTCCCCCTCCTTTGGGCAAGGTCTGTGGAGATGCCAGGAACTTTCTTCAACTTTTATGTTGTGCACTGTTACTTCGCCCCTTGCTAATGCCTCTGGCAGCGCTACAGGTTATGGATTCTCAGCCCATGCAAGGGAGTTACTTGCAAGGAGTTATGCAACTCAATTATATGTTTTGGAAATGTCTCCCATAAATTACAATCAGACGTTTCCAAGTTCTCAGCTACTTCCCTCAATCCTCACGTGGCAAGGTAAGAAAACCCAAGCTTCCATCCTGTCTGCTTAGTGTACTCCTTCCCTTCCTCAAGTTCACTTCTCTTCCTTTTTCCAAAAAACTAGTCCCCAGTTTTTTACGTTAAATTAAATAAACGTTTTTACGTTTGCTTTCTGCGGATGCAGTCCTGTCCAACTCTCTGGGCTGTTGGAGCAGTACAGCAGGTGCTTGCTTAGCTCCTGCTTCTATTTAGGGGCCATTACTCACAGTTCTCTTCCTGCCTATAAGTGGCAAATCCCTCCCTTCTCTCATGTCTACGCTCTGAATTCTAAGAGCACGGATTGAACAGTATTTCTGTGCCCGTGTGTCAAAGGGGGGTCAGAGGACCTCAGCCTTGCTGTGGTCCTTTGTTTCTGCCACCCACAGAACCCGAGGTCCTTAAGTTAAGTTCTGTCACATCAATACAGGGGGGAGAGTGCTTTGGCAGGTTCCCTGGAATTGCTCACGCAGGGGTTGCGCCGCATACACAACCCCTCACCCCACACGCAGAAGGGCTGGGAGCAGACTTGCTTGGTCAGGCTGGCGGGATGCGGCAGGGGGAAAACCTTCCTCAGCTGCTCGTAGGCGGTGCGGTGGCGGAGGTGCAGCAGGCAGGCGAACCGTCTCATGGCAGGGCAGTACTCGGCGGGCCGCCTCCAGCGCCGGGCGCCACGGGGCAGATCTGCTCACAAACACAACACCGACAGAGCGGGCAGCAAGGAGCCGGGAGGGCAGCGGGGAGCGGGGCCGGGCCCTACCTGGAAACAGCGCCCGCAGCACGCGCAGCGCGGCCCGCGGCAACCCGCGGCGCGCCGCCAGCTTCCGGACGGGCCCGCAGAGGCGGCGGGGGCCGGCGGCGGGCGAGACCGGCCCTGCCCCGCTGCGGCTGTACGTGTGGTCCTGGCTCCGCAGCGCGCTCCGCAGCGGCACTTTCCGCGGGTGGCCGCGGGGCGGCTCCTAGGGCGGAACGGCGGCCGTTAGCGGCGGCTGGCGGTGGTTAGCGGCGGTCGGGAGCCGTTACAACCCCTCTCCCTCAACGCACCGCCAAGGGGAAGCGGGACGGCACGGCCCCCCGCCGCAGCTTGCGCCGCAGCCCGTAGCGCTCGAAGTCGGCCTCGGCGAAGTGCCGCGAGCAGAGGATGGCCCCGGGCCCGGGGCTCCAGGCCCGCCGGCTTCGCGGGTCCAGCCGGTTGACGGCGCGGATCCACTCGCGGCGCTGCGCGGCGTCCACCGGGAACCTGCGGGTGGAGAGGGGTCGGCAGGGCGGGAAGCGCCGGAGGCTGCGACCCGCCGCCCGCACTCACTGGTGGAAGGAGATGCCGCGCTCCCGGCTCCGCCCGTTGTCGCGAGCGCTGCAGCCCAGCGCCGAGCAGCTCCGCGTCATGGCGGCCTCATCGCGCGCCGTCGCCCCGCGCTCATTGGAAGTCTCTTCCCGCCCGCCCTCCTAGTCTTTATCGCTATTGGCTCTTCGGCTTTTCCCCCGGAAGTGGAATTGGAGAGACAGCGCCGCACTTCCGCCTCGCTGCGACGTACGCGCAGCAGGGAGACGTCTCGGAGACCAATTAGCGGCGCCTGTAGAGAACAAAGCAACCAATGGCGAGCGGTGATCCTCGCGACCAATAGCAGCGCCGCTTCCGCCTCCTTTATATGGCGGGGCGAGGAGCGGGAGTTCTTCTTCGCGCCGCGCGGTGCTACGGGTTGGCAGTGGCTGCGGGGCTGAGCGATGCCCAGCGGCAGGGCCGCGGTCGACGGCCGCTCGGCCCCGCGGCACCGTAGGGTTGAAGCATCGCCTTCTCCCAGTGTGGTGCTTGCCTGCTGAACAGCGTGGGGGACGCGGCCGGCGGCCCGGCTCGCGTTGAGAGGTCGGCTGCGCCCCCTCAGAGTCTAAAGTAAGAAAATAACCGTCAGAAAGGGGCGCCCTGGGCTCGGGGCGGGGCGGGGGCCCGTCCGATGATGAACCTCAGTGCTGTTCACATCCTGACACGCCGTGACGAGCGCTGTTGAGCTGAGGACGGCCGGCCCCGCTCCCCCCGCACGGCGGTTCCGGGCCCGTCTCCGGCCCGCCTAATCTCCGTCTCTCCCCTCTCTCCAGGTCCCGGCCCTGAGCGGAGCCCGCAGGAGGCCCGCACTCCCCCGCCCCGCGTTGGCAGAGGCGAAGCCCCGCCCGCTGCCGCCCGGAAGGCGCCGGGAGCGCCCGGAAGCGGGAGGCGGCGCCGCGGCTGCCACGTTGGAGCGGGCCGGGAGCGGGTGAATGCCGGGCCGGGGCTGCAGAGCGGGGAGAGCTCTCGGTCATTGGGGTTTTTAGCCTCGTTTGTTGTCCGAAATGAAGCGTGCGTGCCCGCCGGCAGCCGCTCGCTAATTGGGCTCGGGGCCACCCGCTGTCTGAAGGGTCGTTCTGAGGAAAAAGGCTCCGTTCTGAGGGGAAGGGTGCCTTCTCGTCTCTTCCTGCGCTTAATCGGTGTTTTATCTTTTCAGCAAAATGAAGCTGAAAGAGATTGACCTCACTGCCATGCAGGCATGGAGTCCTGCCCAGCAGCACCCCATTTACCTGGCCACTGGTGAGTTCTGGGTGGCTGTTGCCAAGCAGTCGCGGTTGGAGGTTAGCTGATAGCTTGTGCTTGGAGGACTGGATATCATTGTACGGTTCCTCTGGGGCACGGGAAGACTGACACTCCAACAGCTTTCCCTGTTGGTGCTGGTGAAGAAACTTCCCTGCAGGGATCTGTGGATATAACTCCATAGAAACACGCCTAAATAATTAAATCAAAAAACTGATTCTGTGTCAGGGTCGGTTCTGCAAGGGTAACGGTTTTAATGTCCCTTGTTGTGCCAATCTGCTGTGCAACGTTTCTTTCTCATTAGTAATTGTGTTCCTTTGCAGGCACATCAGCCCAGCAGTTGGATGCAAGTTTCAGCACAAATGCTTCCCTGGAAATATTTGAGTTGGACTTATCAGACCCTTCACTGGACATGAAGTCGCGTGCTGTCATTTCCTCCTCTCACAGGTAGCAGTGGGGCTGTAAGCAAGCAGTAATGGGGACTGCTGTGTATAGTATGTGCCAAAAGACCAGTGCATAGTGTTTGACTGCAGCTGTTTAGTAGAGTGGCACCTGGGTGCTCTCGCTGTTGGGGACAGCTCAAGTGTCATTGTGAAGGCAAAAAATAGGACTCTCAGGTGCTGCAGGCAGCTTTTGTGCTCCCTGAACTTTAGTGTGACGTTAGATGGGAGGTATGGATGTGTCTTCTGACCACAGGGAGCCACTGGCATTCCTCAGAAAACAGAAAGAAAGATGTAACTGTGGAAACAACCCATTTTTCAAACTGGCACATCTAGTTTGGTGTGTTGGTGATTTGGGGGGATTAATCTGTGGCAGCAAACTGGGTCATGTCTTGTGTATGGTGTCATACGTCCCTGTGCATCTGAGAAGCTATGCTCCTGTCCTCACAGCCTTAGGTAGTTTTCAGCTCTTTACCCTGCGCTCCTCTGAAGCAATGCTGCTCTCATCTAAGCGCCACGTGTCCTCCTGCACAGTGCTTGCAGTAGTTCTCCAGTAGCCACAGCAGTGGTTGCTACGCGTCACAGTGGAAGTGCAGGATAAGTAGAGAAGAGGGTGACTGTTTCCATCACTTGGAGCAGATCTATGGCTTTTTCATATGAGCTTCAGGGGTAGCATAACCAATTGTGGTGACCTGAAACTGTGAGCGGAGCTGCAGGCAATTACAGCAATTCCCCAGTATGTCTGAGTGACCTCTTGGTACTCACAGAAAAGCAATTGCTGTCTCCCACCTCTGATATGAGTGGAAATAACTTTAGCTTCATTCTCTATTATCCACTTCACATCAGTAATTTCAAGACCTAACAGTATCAGACAGTTTTACCTAATGCAATTTCCTGGGTTTGTATAAATTCGGTAAGAAGATGCAGAGGGATTGAAATAAGGACTATCTTTGTACACAGTGAGACTGTGGCTCTGTTTACAGATGCCTTCCTGATTTGAGTAAACAGCTGTTGCAGTGGCTTTGCAGGAGGAAACACAAAGTGTTATGCTGCTGGCTTTGATCTGTGTCATCTCTGTAGTGATAATTCCCTGGCTGCTGCTGGGGCTTGCCCATCACTGCCCTGCAGTCATTGCTTTTGTAATATGTGGAGAGGAGAGGAAGAGCCAGCAGAGCCACGGACTGTGCCTGAAGGCCTGAGCTGTGGGCTCTTTAATGCTCTTTACTGATCCACTGAGAGCACAGTGAGGAAGCTGGAATTTTTCCATTTCTAAACCTTTTGAAATACAACTGATACTTTTCAGAGCTTGCTGACTGGCATTTGCTTTACTGATTTTTCAAAACACACTTCTTACGGCCAGCATGCTGAACTTCTTTGAGTGCTTCCTTTGGTGAATGTTTGACTTTGCCCCCAGAAAATGATTTACAAATTAAAATGGCTGAGTGGAGAAATACACAAAAGATGAATCTGGTAACAGGTTCTGTTAGTTGTCCTCCTATGGAAAATTTCTGGCTGCTGTTAATAGAACTATATCTTGGAAAGAGCAAAGTGCAAAAGCAAAATGATTGCATGATTAATTCCAATTTTTGTTCCTGTTTTCTTTTACGATACTTTAGACCTGTTGTATGTTCTGATGGTATGATACTACTAATCCTCTGACAACCCATTGATCTCCCTATTTCTTCTGCCCTTGCGTACTTACATGCAGAATTACAGAAGTCAGAGTACCCAGAGAAAGGGTTTGCCTGATATTGTGAACGCTTTGCAGTCAATTAGGTTTGCTTTCTGCTTGCGTAACACCTGTGATGTGATGGTATGTTGTTAATGTAGAAGAAAACCATGCTTTACATGGTTGAATACCCAGGAATGCCATCTTGCTTATTCGACAAGTTTGATCTGAAGGAAATGTGTGGGTTGTTTTGTGGGGTTTTTTTTGAGCAGTGACACAGAGGCTTAAAAGTGTTTTTGGTGTATTTGATTCCTCTAATTCAGCTTGGGAAATAGATAGCAGTCCAAGTGACGGATTTCTGATGTAAGTCATTTGCTGAGCATCTAGTACTACAGATGGAATATTTGCACTTCCAGGAGCACTGATGAGGGAAAGGTTTTGCAGTTCTTTTCCAGCTCCATCTTTTTTTTTCCTCCCTTGTACAAACAGCTGCCTACAGATAACAGAGGCTCATCTCCAGGCTTATGGCTCATATGGATGGCTGCAGCCTGTGTCTGTCTGTCTTGCAGGTACCACAAGCTGATTTGGGGGCCGCACAGCATGACTGCAGGGGAGAGTGTCTCTGGAGTCCTGATTGCTGGGGGTGAGAATGGGAATGTCATTCTGTATGACCCAGCCAAAATCTTAGTTGGAAACAGTGAAGCAATAATTGCTCAGAAAGACAAGCACACGGGACCAGTGAGAGCACTTGATGTCAACATGTTTCAGGTGAGTTTTCAGTTGTTGTTTATCATGTGCAATCATGGATGAGTGGCCTGTTTTAACAGATTGTTACCATAAATGTACCTGTGTCTTTCTGTGGTCCTGACAACAATGACTCTCAGGGATGTGATTTAGCAGAGGGTTGTTACGGAAGTATGGTTAGAACATGGTTGGACTTGGTGATCTTTAAGGTCTTTTCCAGCCTGAGTTGATTCTATGGTTCTGTGATTCTATGACTTAAATCTGGCCTTTGCATGTATTTATTAGGAAAAATCTGTCCTATTGCCAGCATCTTAGCATGAGGAATGAAAGACTTGGAAATGGCCAGATAATTGTTTTCCCTTGTCAGTTGATGTTGTCAGTTTATCATGTGACTTTAGCTCTACTTTAGTAGACGTGGTTTTCCATGTTGTTTTAGTCACCATTTTTAGTTCCAACAGGCTGTTCATATGTTGTTCTTATCACACAAAATATTTCTGTGCTTTTGCTCTTGCTTCTGGTGTCATTGTTTTTTAGATTTTTTTTTGTCCTGTGGAGGTGGAGTAGGGCTATTAGCAGCTCAAAATATTGTCACTTGGAAAAGGGGGTCAGAGGAAATACACTGTGGTGTGGTGTCTCGAGGCAGAAGAGCTCAAGATCAGCAAGCTTTCCTCACTTGCTGATGAGAGTTTAGTTCCTCCTAGATACAGCGGCTCAGTTTTTTCTCAGTTCTCATGCAGCTGGTGAGGGCTGATTTGATTCTGTTTCCTAAATAACACTTTTGTCTATACACAGTTACTTTTAGCAAGGCCACCCTTTGTTTATTGTGTCTTCTCTGAAGAGCTTCCTCTCTTTTTCTGTCTCTTATGAAGTCAGGATTTGCACGTCAGCGGCCATAAGATGCTATCAAAGGGTGCTCAATGCCACTAACCCACATCACACTGCCTGGACATCTTCATCCTGGCCACAGGATTGGGCTGGAGGCTCAAGTGCCATGTTCCCTCCAGCCAGCCCTGTCCCGGGCCAAAGTGCTGCAGTGCTGCTTCCCTATCTGTTCCG